TTTCTACTTTCTACTTTCTACTTTCTACATGAGATGGGGGAGGGGTGGCGGTTGAGCACGGATTGCCAATGGGCGGACTCCTCCTTATGCTACACGAAGCTACGGTACTGGTTGTACTTAATCATGGCTCTGGTTGGAACGAAATCTGCTTCATAATCCATAATTCGCATCAGTCGTTTGTAAGTACTGAAATGCGATTCTTTACTAGCTAGTTTGTTTCCTTTCGATTCTGACATGGTCATCCCCCCTTTTTATCCCCTGTGTATTAATATTTCTTGTTGAGTTTAGTTTTCACTTTATTAATACATGTACATAATACATATCCCTTTATGTAAGGGGTACGGAAGTACAATTCAATAGACGTTCTCATCTGAGGTCCACTCATTCCATTTACCACCTGCATTTACCGCGATCGGGTGTTTCCGGACCGCATTTTTATAGCAGGGGTAAATAAAAAATGGTCGAATGGAACTGGCTTACTGTTTCCTATTTCGCAACGGGCCGGCAAATGGGAAGCCGGGGCAGTTTGGGGCAGTTTGCGCCTGTCTGGCCTCCGGACGGTAGAAATTGTAATCTGAAGCAGCTTCAAAAAAATATTGAGCGTTTTTTGGTAACAATTTTATCTTTCCTCCTTTCTTTTACAATTCTTACCTAGTTACTAAAAAATACACTATCCTTACCTACGGGTATGTAAGTTTAACCGGACCTTTCACAAGATCAATCATCCCTTCTCATACCTGTCGGCTGACGTACCATGACCAATTGGCAGCTTCCGTCTTTGAATTGATCTTGGGGAAGCTACTGCGCGCTGTAAATCATGCTGCGATCGGTAGGAGCTGCGGCCAGCGGCCAAGCTAGAAACCTACTTGGGCCGAGGACTGCTCCTCGGCTTCTTTGCACATGCAACAGCGCCTCCACATCGTCATATGTTACCTCAAGATCTCTCCGCACCAGTTACATCTCTAGGAAACCTACGCATTCCCTACAATTCCAAAGAAACCTGCATGCGACATCGATAAGAATGGCTGACAACACGAGAACCGAGAGCGATGCCTTTGGCGAAATCCAAGTTCCCGCCGACAAATACTGGGGAGCTCAAACTGAGCGGTCCCTCTCTAACTTCCGCATCAACCAGCCTCAAGATCGAATGCCCCCTCCGATTATCAGGGCATTCGGTATCCTGAAGGGTGCAGCAGCCACCGTCAACATGCGGTACGGACTTGGTATGCCAGAATCCTACACGGAGCGCATTGTTCCCTAACTACGCTATGGTGGGGTATTGGCTTACACGATGCGACTATATTATTACAGATGAGAAGATCGGCAAGGCCATCCAACAAGCTGCCGCCGAGGTGGCTGACCTCAAGCTCATCGACCACTTCCCCCTCGTCGTCTGGCAAACCGGCTCGGGTACCCAGTCCAACATGAACGCCAACGAAGTTATCTCGAACCGAGCTATCGAGATCCTTGGGGGTACTAAGGGCACCAAGAAGCCGGTCCACCCGAACGACCATGTCAACCGTTCTGCCTCTTCGAACGATACTTTCCCCACCGTCATGCATATCGCCGCAGTTCTCGAGCTCGAGGGCGAGCTCTTACCTTCTCTCAAGAGCCTCCGTGACGCGCTACAGAAGAAGGTTGACGATTTCAACGCCAAGAACATCATCAAGATTGGACGAACCCATCTTCAGGATGCCACACCTCTAACTTTGGCGCAAGAGTTCTCAGGATATGTTGCTCAGCTGGACTTTGGTATCAAGCGAGTCGAGAGCTCCTTGCCGGACCTAAGACTACTTGCTCAGGGCGGAACCGCCGTCGGTACGGGAATCAACACCTTTGAGGGCTTTGCCGAGGCGATCGCCGAGGAAGTCAGCAAGATGACAGGAACCGAGTTCAAGACAGCACCGAACAAGTTCGAGGCTCTCGCTGCGCATGACGCTATTGTCCAGGCCTCCGGTTCTCTCAACACCTTAGCTGCGTCTCTTACCAAGATCGCTCAAGATATCCGATATCTTGGCAGCGGTCCCCGTTGCGGTCTAGGTGAGCTAATCCTACCGGAGAATGAGCCAGGTTCCAGTATTATGCCCGGCAAGGTCAACCCTACTCAATGCGAGGCCTTGACTATGATTTGCGCTCAAGTCATGGGTAACCACGTTGCCACGACCATCGGTGGCATGAACGGCCAGTTCGAGCTCAACGTCTACAAGCCCCTTATCATCCGAAACCTGCTACACAGCGTGAGAATCCTTGCCGACGGCATGCGTTCGTTTGAGAAGAACCTTGTCGAGGGTCTCCAAGCCAACGAGGAGAGGATTTCCAGCATTATGAAGGAGTCGTAAGTTAATTTCTCAACAATAACCCCTAATTGAGTATTGGCTAATAGTTGCTACTTTTAGGCTTATGCTAGTTACCTGCCTCAACCCCAAGATCGGTTACGATATGGCTTCCAAGGTCGCCAAGAACGCACACAAGAAGGGTCTAACTCTAAAGGATAGCGCAATGGAACTTAATGCCCTGACGTCGGACGAGTTCGACGCCCTCGTCAAGCCAGAGCTTATGATCGGGCCCAAGCCTTACAAGGGTTAGGTGCACCAGGTAGTTGAGCCCGTGGTACACTACGTCCAAGCCGAGCTTGATGCGATTGAGAAGAAGGCGTTGGCTTATCACCAACAACACCACCAACAACACCACCAGTCTTCTTCTCAGTAAGCCCCTACGCAGGTGTTTACTAAGTAGTGCATCACTTTATGGCGCATTAGTAGCGCTAGTCTACCCCTAGTCGAGTCTTGTCAAATTACCTATAGCAACCTCAGACTTGTATAGATTATAACATCTTGTACATAAGTAAAATAAAGAGTAAACTATTATCAATATCCTTATTTTATTAACTACCTGCATATATAGGCCTAAATTTCAGGTTTAGCCTGAATATATTAGGTAGGCGAAGAAGAGTTTGAATATTGCAGTGACTATATCTGACACTACATTATGGGGCTGGGGGGGTCTATTGACATTATGTCAGCAAACGTGTCAATATAATTACATAATTACAGGCCTTTAAGACCGTGTCAACAGGTCAATATAATATCTGCAAAGCTTGTTGTACCGATTTCATTGCGGGTACTTACAAGTCAATACTGATTGACAGTATGTCAAGGTATTTATTATGTCAGAGGTACTGTCTATTTCGCCGTAATTACCAAGCCTGTTGACGATGTCCAGATAGCCACTATGTCCACAACGATGTCAGGAATCAACATAATGTCAGCCCCGGGTATATATAGGTTAAATAAAGGCCTGGAGTATGCATATATACTGCAATACAATAAACTTTAATCATTCGTAATTCGTAATGACCTCGTAGTGTAATGGTAAAACGCGTAGCCCGTAATCTCGTAATAGTAGTTCAAGTAATCCTTTTAATAATCTTTTCAATTGACTTTTGCATGTGTCTATATGCCGTATACATATATATATATATATATCTTTAAGGCCCTGTATTAGATTACAGGGCCTTCTATTCTTATTTCTTTTTATTTCTTTTAATATTATTAGACCCTTGAGTGGTGACGATGACCTCGCTTGACATCGTCTCCTACGTGACATACGTCGATTAGGTGACCGTGACTACCCTTGGTAACGATGCCTAAAAGGCCATTCTTTCCCAAAATGTCTGTATTTTAAAAGTAATACTATTACAATAAGGTATAATCGTGTACGTACGGTAGCTATTTCAAACCTGGTCATCCTTATAATATAGATACAGTCACCCCCGGGGGTGACTATACTAAATATACTAGCCAATCACCGTAGTAACAGTCATTTGACATGCGCATGGCCGACATTATGTCCACACCTCAACACGTTTGCTGACAACCATGTCAATAGACCCCCCCAGCCCCATAATGTATTGGTCTTGATTAGGTACCTAGGTACCTACCTATAAACATCAAGTTCTCCTTCTAAGTTTCGATACTGCCACATGATATGTAGGAAAGCACATAAGTTTATCTAATAGCATACTTTCACCTGCTTACAGTTGCTTACAGTTTCCTATGAAGTTACAATACACCTGCTCTATTCGTTCGAGAGGTTGTAACAGGCAGGTACCTACCTAAGGCAGGTAAGCACGGCTATTCTTATGCCACCAATTATGCGAGTTTGCCTGGGTACATTCAAAGATAAATGGAAGGCACAACGCTGGAAAGTGTCACTGGAAAGTGTAACAGGTACTAGTATGAAGGGATTTATTTAAAACCAACGGTCGTATGTCTGATTCCACTTCGACTTCTTACAACAATTCAACATCTTATCTTCTCTCGCATTACCTGCTTGAGATGTCCTCCCAATAACTAACGACCTCTCCCACTTAATATCTACTACATCTTTAAACCCTAACACTTCCTTGTGGCATACCTACATATATATTATCCTTGACTTTTAGAACAATTAAAGCAACTACCCAAATAATGATCACCTCCGAGGAAGTCGTATGTATACTATAACTCAGACCTCGGAGTCTACACAGTTTTAATACTATAACACATACATTCAATACTTAAGCAATAATAATATTCAAAATCGTCTTTCAATATCTTTCATCGCCTCCTGCGATTTGATCACAACAATACAACAAGAGACCCCCACTCAAGTAAACAGGGTAATATTGACAACATTATTCACCTATCCACTCAATTGCGACCGCTATGAAAAGCTATCAGAACCAAACAAGAAAGCAACCTCCTTTCAAGCTTATCGAAGACTTTGAGAACGTACTTGACCTTGGCCGATTGGTGCGCTAGGGAAGGGGGCTTCCCAACGTCTCATTTTACGGCCTTAACTATTCCTGGCCACTTTGCAACACAAGCCACAAGCTTCAAACTCCTTGAAGAAACGGAAATGCACGCACTAAATAGAATTATACCCAGAGCAATCGTCCCCCACACCAAGAAGGCTATCCGGCTGAAGCGAGAGATGGCCAGGAAACAGTGCAAGCGGCCATGGTAGCCGATCCCATCTTAGACACAAGCGTCCGGCAGGAGTCAAACATGTGGATAGAAGATGAAGATATCGGATTCCACCGCCACCTGCATAAACGGAACCTGTGCCAGACCGCGGCTCTATTGAACAAGCCCGAGCTTAAAGATGTCCTCCAACATTTCACGGAGCATCTCCTCGGCTTGTGCCTCGCAGCTAGGGATCTTATGAGCTACCATGGTCAGACGAACATCGCAATCCTAAACCAACTCAACTGTCGGAAATATGACGATGTCTGCCTCAGCCCCTTCCATTACGAAGTCATGGACGACACCATGAAGAAATATTGCAAGATGTGGGAGAGTATCGCCGCTTATACCAGGTAGCAGACTGTACGCGTCTTGCAGAAATCCGTGCTAAGGTCCCGTATTGAATACTAGGATGGTTGGAACTTCAGATCAGCCAAGATCAGTTCGAATACCTTAAAGAACGCATACACAGACGAGGAAATTCGCGATGCAACCCGACCCGTACGACGGAAAGCGAAGATTCAAGACCCAGAAAGCAAAGGAAGAAACTATAGCTTGAATCGCTTCGGTGCCGACGATGCTGAAATGAAACCGTCAGCAAGACCACTACATCTTTGGAGTATTGGACCGAAATATTGCTAGTATACAAACCTCAAAAGGCCTACAACTTGGACAAAGTAATTCAATACCTAGCCCAGGTCTGGAAGACATAACATATTGGAGACGTTGCCTACCCGGTCTTCAATACGAACTAAACTCTACCAAGTCGTCAGCAACCGGAGCCAGTCCACTGGAAATACTATACGGATTCTCACCGAACCTAATAACACAATTCTTAGGTACACAACATCAATCCCTACCACCATCACGAATGGACATTCACGACGCAATCGCCATAGCGAGCATGTCATCCAAACACTATTACGACAAGAGACATAAACCCATGTTTTTCAGGGAAGGACAGCCTGATCAACAACCATTTAAGACCAAGCTTTACTCCAACGTCCGAAACGCCCTACAGGCCATAAAAACTTATCGCAAATAGAATAACTATAAATTCGTCGGAATAACAAACTTCGAGATCCCAGAGGAGGAAGCTATCGAGGCTCTTCGTATTTACGGAGACGGGAAGAAGTGGGGTTTTGGAACATTGCCTGTCCAAATAAGAATGGGTATCCGGAAAACACCATCCCGGCAGCAACTTCAAACACAGCCCTTCTACAACCCAACAATAAATCCTAAGGTTTTAACGAGAGATCAGAGCTAGGTGATCATTCAAATAGCGGACGGGATCGAGAACTGGACTACAGCTACTAGATCAACAACAGCTGTCAGAGAGTCAAGCCTGGCGAGATTACGGGGGGGAGGGAAACGCGATATCCCTTCTACCAGAACGCAATAAGAAGCCGTGCAGAGAGAGAGTCGGGTGAGTAATATGGTGGCCTTTGATATACCTCGTTACCGTTCTTTTCTAATCCGAGTCAATTGTAGCCTACCCCGGGGCCACAATCAGGCTACTCGGGGCTCGCCTGCTTTAACCCTTTCCGGAGCTTCTATTACATGACGATGCGTACTGCTGCGCCTACTGCTCCTACGCAGTCAGGGACATCAACAAGATCAAACATCATTACAAACAGTTTCATCAAGAAAAACCAGAAGTCATCCAGGAGGCAAACTTCGACCGGTCGTTGTCATATCACATACATGTGGGGTACCCCACATGTATGTATATAAACACTAGATGTTCCCTCTAGTAACTTAGTCTATAGAACATCAAATACAATACATATCGTGATAGTCGTGCTGGTAAACTTCGACGAAGCAATTGTACTAGACTAGGTCTAGTCCCTGAGTGCTGGGATCATGGGACGTCATAACAACGAGATACTGATTTTGGCGGAAGAAAACGCTTAGATGGGATGGGATTTGCTCGGTATTAAGTGTGTTTGCACTAGACCCAACAAGGACAACGCAAAGGAAACGAGATACTACATAGGCGCGGTGTAAATATTTCTATTACTGATACTAATAATAGGATATAAAGGCGGTTTCTCTGCACTGCTAATTCCTCGCTTTTCCTTCTCTTCCCCCTGCACGTGTTTAGCAAGGAAGCAAGGACCAGTAGCCATGGCTTTTGATAAGCAGTACTTCATAACATATCCCGCTTCTTCGAATACCACCATAGATGAAAGAGAAAGCAAGTATACACTTTTCATCTTAAACCTCAAGGTCAAATATTACCGGGGACAACTCAACGGTGGATACGTACGAATAACAGGTGTATCGTTCCCAATGGAATAGAAAATTATGTGACCTTTTCCTAGAAAGGTTGTCGCCTTTTTTAAACTTCAAATATATCAGCAATTACCTTCCTAGGTGGTAAGAGGTAGGTAGTTTATACATCTACTCAACTTTCTCTGCCCGTTACAGTAAGCATATCGCTCAGCACCCCCGTAGGATTAAGTATGTAATTGAGGATAGCTGGTATCGCGATAATTCAAAGTAGCTAGGCCTGCTAGGTACATTCTTAGCATGTAGAATTGGGTTCGGGTACTCTCGGCAACTCTGTCGATCTTGGACCTCGAATTGGCTGATATCCGACCTCGGCAGCCGGGAGCATCGCAGTTTCGGTACTTCGGGAGTTCTAGGTTGACTACGTCACTCCAGTCGCCCGTTTCTTTATGCAAAGCGTCCAATAGCGTTATTATTTACTCCATACATACATAGAGGTATAGATCTGGCTAGATTCTTATTATCAAAGGAATCGGTCAACTATACGTTTACTATACATGCACGTTCCTATCATTTCGAGATATCCCCGAGAACAGGAGCTTAGTTGAGCAGCGATATCGCTACAGTAGCTCTTAGTTATCGCGATTTAAATGTGTTTCTTTAGTTAGGCAATTTGAGCGTGAAGATAAGATACTTGGATATTATAAATATTATAGAATTAATGCCGTCATGCGTCATGATCAACAACTGAGAATCTCCAATTGACGGTAAAAACGGTTCCTTATGAGCGGCGGGCAGATGGACTTGCGCCTTTACGGCATAACGAACCAATAAGCGCTCGTCATTAGTTAGTTGTTAGTGAAAGGTAACCGTTTTTAACTGGGATGTGGGGAAGAGAAGTTGGGGAATGCTGGCCAATGATACCGGGGGTTAAAGCTCTAAACTTAGCTCCGTTCAATAACAGAGCTTTCCCCGGCTTTACATGTGAAGAGATCTTATGTGGCACACGAGTACCTACAAAGAACTAGGCTTCATACATGCCGATAACTACTCGTACGCTTTCTATATACGTCTTTGTAAGCATCTAGAACTAAAGTTCTCGACGGCCTCGTGGAGTCACGGAGTAGCATCTTCCCCCACACTTTCACAAGCTTCATACCTAAGAGGTAGGTATCCTAGGTATTTCTCCCCATCTTCATCGGTTACATCAACATCACGTAGCCAGTCATCTACCCTCCTTCCAGCCGAGCATAGTCAGAGAGCGACCTGTCGAGTCGCCTCATGTCGTAGTCTACGCACCTAGGTAAGAAGGTAGCCCTAGACTAGTGTTAGTTCATCTACGTATACATACCTACAGTACTGTATTGTACATAAGTTTGAGAAACCCCTCCCTTTGGCAAGGGGAACCTCAACTTTGAAGCGGTTACATGCCTTGGCTTTTACATTATCTTCCACCCGAACTTGTCGCCGCCGCTTCTTATAACCGTGGGAACCCGCTGTTATCTGCTCCGTAGCCGTATTGCCGTTAATCCTTTCGGATACCAGGCTAGACAAAGGATTTTATATAACACTCCCGAGTTCTCTTCGTACTCTACCTAGCTCTTTATAGCTATTATATATCAACTAAAATAAGCCTCAACATCAAAAAGCAAGGTCCGAGGCAATTAACTACCTACCTATATATCCAAGCGAAGCGAATCTCGAGGCCGCTATTTCAGAACACAAAAGATATATAATCATGGCAACCACCGACAGCATCTTGCAAGGTGTATCCATCTTTGGCACTGTGCAGCCAGAGCATAAAAAGATCCTGACGCCAGAGGCATTGGCCTTCCTAGCACTACTTCACCGATCCTTCAATGGCACTCGCAAGACACTATTAGAGCGTCGCGTCGCACGTCAAGCTGAGATCGACAAAGGCAACTTGCCGGACTTCCTACCCGAGACAAGACACATCCGTGAGAATCCGACATGGAAAGGCGCGCCACCGGCTCCGGGTCTTGTCGATCGGAGAGTAGAGATCACAGGCCCTACCGACCGCAAGATGGTCGTAAATGCGCTAAACTCGGATGTCTGGACTTACATGGCGGATTTTGAAGGTAAGTAATAGTGGAAGTAGTGTTGATGTCAGGAGGTGAAGGGCCATTGGATGGTCAATCGGCTAACACCAACACCAGACTCAAGCGCCCCGACGTGGGACAACATGATCAACGGCCAAGTAAATCTATACGATGCTGTGCGGCGGCAGGTTGACTTCAAGCAAGGCCCGAAAGAGTACAAGCTACGAACGGACCGCGTGCTCCCCACCCTTATTGTGCGACCGCGAGGATGGCACCTTGAAGAGAAGCACGTCACAGTAGACGGGGAGCCGATCTCGGGCTCTCTATTCGACTTCGGCCTGTACTTCTTCCACAACGCGCGCGAGTCCGTCAAGCAGGGCTTCGGCCCATACTTCTACCTACCCAAGATGGAGTCGCATCTAGAAGCGCGCCTCTGGAACGACGTATTCAACCTAGCGCAGGACTCAGTCGGCGTCCCGCGCGGCACGATCCGCGGAACGGTCCTCATCGAGACGATCCTGGCCGCTTTTGAGATGGACGAGATCATCTACGAGCTGCGGGACCACAGTTCGGGGCTCAACTGCGGCCGCTGGGACTACATCTTCAGCACCATCAAGAAGTTCCGCCAGAACAGCGGGTTCGTCCTGCCGGACCGCAGCGCGGTTACAATGACGGTCCCGTTCATGGACGCGTATGTCAAGTTGCTGATTCAGACGTGCCACAAGCGTGGTGTCCATGCTATGGGCGGCATGGCGGCGCAGATCCCGATTAAGGACGACAAGGAGGCTAATGATAAGGCGATGGAGGGCGTGAGGGCTGATAAGTTGCGGGAGGTGCGCGCTGGTCATGATGGGTATGTCTTTACTTCTCCCCTTTTTTTCGTTGATAAGTAAGCTGACGTTGTCGCTTTTCTTAGTACCTGGGTAGCACACCCGGCTCTAGCATCTATTGCCTCTGAGATCTTCAACAAGCACATGCCGACGCCGAACCAGCTGTTCCGGCGACGAGAGGACGTCAAAGTTGGTCGGAATGACTTGCTCAATATGAACGTCCCCGGCAAGATCA